ATCAGGTATGATTAATTCAGTTTGGGCAGGAAGGCACACCCGTAAATGATTTTTAATCCTCCATTTGTAACAGGAAGATACATGCAACACGCCAATAGGGGAAAAGAACGCGATGGTATTGATGTCGACGACCCAGAGAAAGGCACATAGCCATAACATGTAGGGTAGTAGAAAAAAGACAAGAAATCCGCAGGTAGAGTAAGAGACGACACATCGGGTACAAAATCAACGGACACGTCAAAATTGTATCTGCCGGGTCCACACCAATAAAAAGATGTCGATTTTAAGGACGGGAGTCGGAGAAGAACAGCCGTTAACGCTCGGAGTGAGATGAGGGCGATAGATGCCCCCTTGCTGCTGCTGTTTTGTGGTACAGGAACAAGCGAAGTCGACGGCACGCACACTTTCGAGACTAGAGCGCTTTACAGGCATTGAAGAACTAGTTAGCCTTGATGTCGTGCTAATCTAAACATTAAGTATTCGTAGCTGAAGTAGACAGCTGACCGTAAGACTGGCGCGCTTGCATAACGAAGGTGCATAAACAGAAAACTTTGACAAGAACGAGTCCTTGATCGCCGTTCGTCATGGCATCGGTGCAAGCTCTTCTCCGTTAACGTTTGAGCCACAGCGACCTGCTACGTCCCGTCGCTTTCTTCCCAATGGAATCGAGAGAGTCAGAAAGCTCTGATGATCTGTCACGTCGTCGAGTAACGGATGTAAGAAGGCAACCAACAAGGTCTAGTCCTTTCCTCGGAGGGACCTACAATCGCCCATACATACGTGGTTGCCGAACAGGTCCTTGTATCCTCGGGCCGACCATCACCCAAATAACAACTGTTTACGTATCCCCAACTTTGACTCGGGGTCTTCTCTTCTCGCCGTTGAGGCTCAATCAATTGCTACGACGAGGCACCCGATTTCGCTCACACGAATTAATTAGTACAGCGTTGCTCTAGCCCTCATCCTAATCCGGGGAGGATGTCGCGATTCGTATAAAAGGACCAGTAAGTCGACTCTCTTTCTTCAGCATCACAATGTCTACCCCACAAACCAAATTCGCACCTACTCAATCGTCTTCCGCCCTCGGTGGACAGATCGTTGGCCGCTCTGAGCGCCAGGCTGTTGCCCCTCCCGCAGCTTTGAAGCTCCGTCTTGACCTTAACCTCGAGGTCGAGATCGCCATTCAGGCCAAGGTCAACGGCGACATCACCTTGTCGCTCCTGTGAGTAGATTGGCCATATTGGTATATCATTGGGCTAAATATTTCGATGACAGGCAATAGATACGTCGTGGGCGCGGAGAGTTGGAGGCAGAGTCTATTCGGTGACTTGAGGTGAGAGATGTTGTTTCGTGTGTTCTTCGTTGTTATGCTGAGGACCATCGTACCAGTCCCCACTCATGTCGACAACGTTCTCTCCAAAATTCCCTTTACCCGTACCTCCACCGTATTAGCCTTTATGAGCGTTTTTGTACCTGTGGGATGTTAATATCAGTGTTGTTTTCGGGATTATGCGTTCATTTTAGGCAACTTAACTGTCTATGATTGGCTTCGTACTGTAATCGTGTTCTTTATGGCCTAAGGGTATGACCCAATCTTGCAGAACGCCACGAGTGGAAAATGTCTACTGCGGCAGACTACCAAACAAAGATGTGGGGATGTTGATAATTTGTTCCGGAAGGTATTACTTGGGGCGGTGCCTCGAGATGATCTTCTGGATGGTCAAAGAAGGGTCGACTCCTTCCGTGTTGTTTAAATGAGAGAAAAAAGAAGTCCACAATTATTGAGGAGGGATATCTGATTGGGTGTCTAGAAGTGCATGTAGTACTTTGCATATCCAACGTGACAGCGACATAGGCTGCCATCGATGTATATCCCTCCGGGTTCGAGCACGTCAAGGCGACACATCACCGTTCCCACTTCTATATCTCAGAGTATGTAAGCCCTTTGTCTTCTCCAGACGACGCCGATCATAACCTGCTGTAGCCGTAGATCAAAGAATCGAAAACAAGGTCGCGCGTGGGTATCAACGTTGATGGGTAGCCGAGGCAATGGCGGCTGTGGTTGAGGAGGTGCCTGTCGGTGTACTCGAGATAGGTCTACAATATCTCCAGAGCGTCGGAGAATGGAATCTACACGAAAAGCTTCCGAATTCAGGAAGTTGGTGAGCTGTACAACAACGTATCCCTCCAAAGCCCGCAGACGCGACCCAAAACACAAAGAGGCCGAACACGTCTAGATTATTGCGCGATTTTGAGAAGCTCCGCTTCCTATACTGCTACCCAGAATCGCCAACAGAATGGAAGATTTCGAGGAGATTATTTCAGATGGGACGACGAATGACAGCACAGATTGGTTTGCGACTGCCATGGGCTTTCGGGACTGCACGTCGATGCAAATGATCTCTTGAAGCCGAGGTAGCATACAAGTTTAGCTGCTTCCACGTCAACGATTTCGGCGTTGGGCAAGGCATGATCAGAATCGAACAATGGTCATGACCTGCGTAGAATTTGCGTAACGAGATTGTTTGAACGGTTGCTATTTTGTGGTCGTGGTTCGAGGACAAATCCACAATTGCCGTACGGCACATGAAGCGGAAACGAAAAGGCAAGGATTCGCACGTGGCCTGTCTCTATCTTCACCCTCAGAGTCATCAGCGCCAACTCTCATCTGAGTTGCTTTTCTGCATTATTCTGCCATATTGCCTTTGAAAATTTCCCTTCATGAAACCAAAGCTGGAGAGTATCTGAACAGGAAGCCGCGAGGAATACGATTGAAGCATGGCGACTCAATAGGTAGTGGGTCGCGACACGGTACTGGTCAGCAACGAAGCATTGGTGTGTAACTCCTTGTATCTTGGATACTGTATCTAACATTTATCTAGATATTGCTGCTGTCTTCCTGTTGCTATCAGATCATTCGATATAACAGCCCGTCATCAATCTCATCCCGGACCCCCAAAATACTGATCTCGCAAGCAACCATCATCTAGAAGGTTCTCCTTGATCGTTTGCAAGCAGGATCTTGTACCTGTATATGAGGCGCTTGGGCGGTCTGGTTCTTCACGTATGTGGTAGAACCGAGGCAAAGCGATGATTTTCGACTTGGTCGCGTGCATGGGCACATGGGTCCGGTGCTAGTAACCAGGAGTTCCCCTCTCCGAAGGCGACTTCTGTGTGCTCTCAAAGATACCCGGATGTCTTCTCAGCACCTCAAATTCGGTGCATCGGCGGATCCTTTCAACACGTTCTTCGCCGGAGTTTGCTCACATAGGGGATTCACCAATACCATGCGTTTCTGTCTTTGCGTCAACATCCTCGACGACGAGCTTCTCTTCGCAACGAAATTTGGAGCACCGCAAGAGGTTTTTGATGTGAAAATCAGGCGTGTCGCAGAACTATCGTTGCGGGATCCCAGAATAACGCTGATATTCGCATCTAATAGGTATAGAGACACTACTACATTGCTAAACAAGGACGAGAGGAAGAATGTGACCCATACACAACCGTGCCCTAACAAGTCTCAGCATGAAATCGATGAACGTACCGAAAGACAAAACACACCTCGAACAGACGACTGATACACACTCCATCTTCCTATGCAAGCGGCACGCTTACTCACTGTAAACCCGCATCAGGCCTCCGGCGTGTCGAAACGATCAATACACTTACAGGAGCGACAAGGTAATGTCACCGTTGACCTTGGCCTGGATGGCAATCTCGACTTCAAGGTTAAGGTCGAGGCGCAACTTCAAAGCTGCAGGAGGGGCAACAGCCTGGCGCTCAGAGCGACCAACGACTTGTCCACCGAGGACGGAAGATTTGGCAGGTGCGTATTGGGTTTGTGGGGTAGACATGATGATACTGAAGAAAGAAATTCATCTAGGCTGTCCTCTTATATGCAGACAAGCTGAACCGGGGCGAGAGCAACGTTATGATTGCACCATGGTGTATTGTAGCAGCTCGGGTGCCTTGTCGTAAATAGATGTTAAATTAGAGGAAGAAAAATCTACGAACGTAAACGTTAACTTGTTTCTGCGAAACGTGCTGCGGGCAAATTTCGAGGGGATCAAAGGCTTCTGATGACGAACGTGGACCTTCTAACCGTCATGGTTGTCCTCAGTGAGCTTCTATTCCTGAGGTATTGCATTTCGGATTTAGAAAGCAAAGAAGCACGTAGTCTCACTATTGAGTATAGTGATACGTAATTCGAAGATACGATGAGGGACTGTTGCCTTCCCAGAGGACATAGGCAAAGAAGGATGGAAAGGCTCAACACGACACGAGGAAAGTTACCATGTGCAGAACGTGAGAGCGTAAACGAGGTACGAAAATTATACAAAAATCGCCGTGGATCCCTCCAGACCCGCCAAGAGCGTCAATTTAGAAAAATGAACGCACCTTCCTAGCTCCCATCACATAAATAGTTTGTCTTTATTAGAGGATCCTAATCACTCCCTAAAGGCGTAGGTCACAGAATCGAGACAGTGACTTCCCTGATGCAAGGCAGAGATGACCTTTGCTGAGACGAAACATGCTACTGTCGAAGGAACGGCGACTTGCCTAGTCAATATACTGTATTTCAATTTCATCACGGGAGAGTCCATGCCAATCAACATCGGGCCCCTTGAACGAAGTCCCCATTGTGACCTCGTTCCTCTTGGCAGATAAGGAGAATATCCTTTTCGTTCTACAACGCCGGCTCTTGGATGGCGGTACATCACCTTTGTGCAACGTTACGACCCTACTCTGCTAAACAGCGCGAGAAGCTTGCACATGAATATTGACGTAGCTGAAAAACTGAGGTGTGGCGAATACGCCGCTGTGGTGTATGCTCAAGAAAGTTGCCATTTCAATTGGAGAAGTATCTGTTGTACTTAGGACTAGAAGAACGAACCGATACAGTTCGGAAAACACCGTCGAATGATGTATCAATTCTTGTGCCCTTCAAGGTTTCTTTATATTACGGCTCGTGAGACCTCGTGCGCAGGTGACCGTCTGTAGGGTCGGTGGCGTAGCTGGTTATCGCATCTGTCTAACATTTAGCTCACAGAAGGTCCTCAGTTCGAACCTGGGCCGACTCATAGCCTTTTTCTTATCTTCCTGTCATGGTCAGCCACTAAGGTATTCATTCCCTTTTTTTCCAAGTAACGCATCGTCTCTTAGTAAACGGAAGAAAGAAGTTTCAAGTACTTAGTATACTCACAGTTTGCACTAAGGTCAATCTGTCTCCCGAGGGGCCCAAAACTCTGACCCTTATCTTCAAATTTTGGGTATGTAGTCACAAAATGCTATTGCTTACAAATCTCAGCGCGCGCGATAGTCAGTAAATACGAGGAAAGTGAGCAATTAAACATCTTTCTTTGATCCGGGCATCTACTACTCGACGACTGCCGGCCTGCATCCAATGTGTTTGCATAGACCTTTAAGCTTTGCCGTACGCGAAGCGCGGCACAAGCGTTCCAGTCTGTATCCAGTGAGATAGCTGTTCAACTGATCATCACTGAGGTTTCGTATATCTTTTCTTGTACGCAGCTTCGGTAGTAGAGTGATCTGTATTTCCACGTTTAATATGTCTCGATGAAAGCGGTGACCTGCTTACCCTCTGGCTGTGTGGGTCCGAAGCTAAATAATAGAAAGGTACGACTTCGAAATTCCGGGAGTGCCTGAGACCAGGAAGAAGATTCAACGTCTGCACGAAAAGTTAGGAAGTCACTCGATTGATAGAGCGCCCAGTGACGAACCCTAGCATTGGTTATTTCCATGACGCAGCGGAGGATTGGAATCGTTCCCAAAAGTTCTTCGGGCTCTACATCATTCAGTGACCTCCTTGAGCCCCGGGGATCTGTTCGACGTCTCAGAAGTCAGAACACCAATGCATTATCTAGCCTCAAAAGAAAACGCACGGGCAGGACGTCTAGTACCTCCTACCCGACTTCGATCGTTGTTGTTGTTGGACATTGCTTCCAGGGTAAATCTGGCGATGGGGAGGATGGTGGCTGGAATCGATAACCCAGTGAACGTAAGTCTGATTTCGCCGAGATGGGAACACCGCACCTTCGTTGCTTTATTCCCACCGATGGATAATAATTGATAACTCGGTTCTCCGTGGGCGTTCAGAACTGATTTTTTCTCTTGTTGTTCTCATCGTTCAAGACCACACAAGCACTAGTGTTCGCCTAGAGGAGTCCTGCGGCTTATGCACTCATTCAAAATTAGCTGCATAGACATGCTACTTGATTCAGCATTTTAGAGATTGAAGCGTCCCAGTATGGCCCTCTCTGTACATCCCGTACTAGGTATAATAGATTCCGCTCAATGTCTCCTCATAGTAGATCTTGAGATGCTTAGGTTTGGTAGTGTCTATAAAGTAAATATACCTATTGCATTTTTCATTGACCTCTTAGACGGTGATGGTCCAACGATGATGTGCGTTCTTCACGCCGAATTTAGGACACTTAGAAAATTTCCAATTGAAAAGTTAGGTGCGTGTCGTAGAAACTTCATTGCATGATCTCAGAATAACAATGACATTGGCATCCAATAAGCGTAGAAACACCGTTAAACACTAACTACATCGTAAACCAAGGTCGCTGGGGAGAACAATACAACTGCGTCTGAAAAGTATCAGCAGGAATCACACAACACGCTAGAAGACAAAGCACACCTCGAATTGATGACTACACGCTGCCTCATCTCCCCGCGCAAAGCGCATTTACTCACTGTGAACCAAACAATCAGTCCGAGACGACGCGTCGAGATAAGCGATACACTTACAGGAGCGACAAGGTGATGTCACCATTGACCTTGGCCTGGATGGCGATCTCGACTTCGAGGTTGAGGTCAAGGCGCAGCTTCACAGCAGCGGGGGGTGCGGGGGCACGCTCGGAGCGGCCAACGATTTGTCCACCGAGGACGGAGGAAGATTGCGTGGGTGCGTATTGGGTTTGTGGGGCAGACATGGTAATGCTGAGGAAAGAGTGGTCAGCTTGGTGGTCCTTTTATACGAATACGAGCAGGACCGGGGCGAGGGCAACGTTATGATTGCGCCATGGTGTCTTTAGCAACTCGGGTGCCTCGTCGCAACCTAGGTGTTAAATTAGAGGAAGAAAAATATACGAACGTAAAGGTATATTTGTTTCATAGAAACACGCTGCGCGCAAATTTCAAGGGGATTTGCTTTCTTCTGATGAGTGAACTGGACTTCTTACCATGGAAGTCCTCAGCGGCGAACTTCTGTATTCCTGAGTTCCGTGGGAAAGCACGTGATGGTATTCGGGCACATAGCGACGAACGGTTGTGGCGGTCAACCCGACTCTTCTGGAGCGTGTTTAGTATATTTGAGGGGGGAAAAGTCTGATGGAGGTGGTAAGAGAAAGCACGTTGGGTCCTCACAATCAGAAACTTGCTATGGGAATCTGGATCCAGCCCCCAGTTTGCGCATCGAATCAGCTAGGTTCAAGAGCATGTTTATTATTGAATAGCGACGATATTGCCACCGGTGACACGAGTCGAGGAAGAATCCGTACTTTTCCACGTGTACATCCCCGAAGGTAAAGTGCAACGATACAAGACAACGTGACTCGCGCCGCGATATTCGTATAAAAGGAGCATCTGGATGGATTTCTTTCTTCAACACAATGTCTAACCCACAAACCCAATTCGCACCTACCCAGTCTTCCTCCGTCCTCGGTGGCCAAGCCGTCGGCCGCTCCGAGCGCCAGGCTGTTGCCCCTCCCGCAGCTTTGAAGTTGCGCCTTGACCTTAACCTCGAGGTCGAGATCGCCATCCAGGCCAAGGTCAACGGTGACATCACCTTGTCCCTCCTGTAAGCCCATTACCTGGCTGTCACTGCTGAGGCTGATTGTTGATTTGTAGCGAGTAAATGTGTGAAGGACGCGGAGAGTCGGAGGGACATTGCTTTAGTTGGATCGAGGTAAAACTGACTGTCCGATCGTTTCGTCGTCTTCATGCTGAAAATTGTGATACTAGAAACCATCCACGTCTTTGTCGACTGCAACCTTTCCGTTCCCTTACCTACACAGTATTAGCATTTGCGAGCGTTTTATACCTGTAGAATACCAATACCAGTGTTTTTCAGGGTCGTGTTGTCCAATTTGGTACGAGTAAGAGTGTATTCTCCTCTGTAACAAGTATCGCAGTTTGGCATTCATTTGACGTGAATGGTCGTTGGTGCGGTTTTTCTGAAATGATACGAGACGAAGGCAGATCAGAGCGCGCGTCCTCATCCTTTGCGGCATCATGTGACAGGGAGTCATTGAACTAGAAGGTGCGAAAAGTTTGAAGCGTTCGTCAAATCTCTGACGTCGTGTACTGTATCACATTGAGTGTAACATATTTATTTGCTAAATAGGCTGCTCTTGTTCCAGTTTATCCTCTGACTTGCGACAAAGACGCCGTCCTAAAAAGCGGTCTAAACGGCCAGACTGACTGTCAGTGAAAGGTCAAATATCATATCCGATGTTGCCTTTTGCAGCTTGGCTCGGTGTGGAGTGGACGAAAGTCAGTGCCAGAGTCTAACCATACGCATTGTTCAGAAGGCCTCGCCATCGCCTTGTACCAGATCACGACGTTTCTCGCGATACTCGCCCCAGGCAGCATCTCGTGGACACACCAGCAGCAGCGTCATGATATCCCTACGGATGGCGATCCGGTCCATATTCTTAAAGCCTTCCTGAGTAGCCAATATGGAACACACAGTAAAAAGATTGTATAGGTTAAGTATGGAGATAGTCGATGTGAAGCTGAGGCGTTGACGGTTACATCATCCACAGCTCTATCCAATCGACATTGCCCGGCGAAAATACGTAGTAGCAGCCATGAAGAACGGACAATGTCCATGAGAGGTGGGGTAGAACGAACAGATTCGAGCGTTCCTCTGTGACGCCAGGAATAACCACCAATTAAGATTGCGATCATGAGATCAGAGAAATCCACGTCAGGGGTAACATAGAAGGAATACAAGGGGTAAAGGCTCGGAGGACCAAAGCGAAGTAAACGTCCGACTTTGAGTTCCATGCCCAACACTGGCTCCACGAACTCCTAGCCATTATGCGCGTGGACCAGGTTTTCAGCCGCCAAGTTTGTTGTTGACGTCTGTCTAACAGACTTGGACTCTATCGTCGCCAGTGATTGTCGGTTGCTAGCTTGTATGTGGGGAAGATAGTAGAAGATGTTGCCCAATTCTCCCTGTCTCCACGTAAGAAGGAAATTCTCTTTCTTGCCCCAAGACACTAGCAGGATTATGCAACGCATAAGATCGCATAGAGATGTACGGTAGGGGCATTGAGGGAAAAGCATGGGAAGGACAGTCGCCACCGCATACGCTGTGTAGACAAGGACGGTCCCTGCACAAATGACCCACGACAACGCTTGCCGAAGCGGTTGTAAGAAAGGCGCGTAAGGATATGGAGCAATCCTATGATGACCTGCACATGCCACTGTTGAAATCCGGCGAAGTGAAATTGACGAATAAAACTCCGGTCGCGGAGGGTTCCAGAAGGGAGGGCAACATAGTGGTGAAGCCATTGTTTCACGAGAGTGGCGACAAGCGCAGTCGTCAGACTGAGGAACAGGCTCGTGAACTAGAGGCCATTCACCCAGACGTCCGTAGTGGCAGGGACAGCTGTAATGGTGGGATTGAGTGGCGAGGGGGTGATGGAGTTGACCGGGGAACCGTTGGCGATGGCACGTTGAACGAGGACCGATTATGGCAGCATAGTCCGCCTGTGAAGTTCGGTAGGTCTGAGCGACAAAAGTTGTCACCACTGCGGAGGAAAGACCCACCTTGACCATATCCGTGATAACGAGTGCTGTCGCTTATCTAAGGATAAGACAAGTACGCGCAGGAAGAGACACGTGGTCTCGTGCCGTCCTGTTTCTTGTGACCACGTCGTTTCTCGCATCCTCCTGCTCTGCCATCTTTCTTGTCCCACCCACCTACCCAGCGTTGGTGTCCGGATTCGGTTACGATCGCCTTCCCGATCCCCTAACGCTCAAGGCGGGGTCCTGGCCGCATTGTGTTCAACCTCTCATTCCCAGCTTCATACCAGCCCTCGTGCTG